GGAAATGATACATAACAATTTTTTATTACATAAATAAAATGTTAAAAAAGTTTGAAGTTAAAAAAGAGAATGAATAATTCAGAATAAATGTCTTAATGTCTATTAATTAAATTTCGATCACTGAATATTCTAACCTCCAAAATTTCCAATGACTGATATTGAATTTAATTTTCAGATTTAATATTATTAATTTAGTAGTGAATAAGTGAATAATTCCTTTTTCTTTTACCATAAAAAGAGAAACAGATATCAATAATGCATTACGATATCTTTCTGAAACATATCACTATAGGTTCTGTTAGAATGATTCTAAATCGGCCAAATAAACGCATTTGGAGAGTAATGATTACTCGGTCGCCACTATACTGACATAACTGCGAATTAATTCAGTTCAAGCAACAGGCTCGTGCCAGCAATGCCATGAGAAAGTTAAGTGACCTGTATCAAGTACTTACCTTCGCTCTCCACAAAATATTTCGAAAAATTGATCCAAATATTTTTTTATTATATTTATACTGCAATCAGTTTCATCACTTATAATATCAAATCATGTTCCGTGACATAAATGATATAATTCAAAGTTATAATTTAAAATTTTAATTCTAAAGTTAAATAAAAATGAAAATAATATCTAATATTTTAATATCTTATTATTATTAATATTATATCCTTTACATTAATTGAATTCTAATTGATTTTTAAATAATAAATAATAGTCACAGGATTTTAATTATGGATCAAGAAATAAAATAAATAAATTGTTATTTAGATTTAAAAATTTAATTTCCAGGTTTTTATTTCTTTTTATTCGAAAAGTGATATTGAAGAATAACAAGGCACTCAATGTGAAGAGAACTAAATATACGTAAATATAAAACGTTTTATTCAATATGTAAAGTTTCTCGATTATTTAAAATCGAGTCGACAATGATCGTGTAAACTAGCAGATCCCCTTTAGGATTATTCACAGAGAGTAAATAATGATTAAAGAGAATGAAAGAAAAGCTTGCTTTCGTTGGTTCGAACTGGTCAAGAGACGCAATTGGTCCAAAAGGAACAGACGGCACTCATGGGACAAGAAAGTGTCTCTTTTACGACGACAGCTGCCAGGCACTCACGATTTCTCGAAGCAGACATACATATCGCTTGTATTTAAGCTTCGATTCTAGTAGCCGTTTGGCAACTTCGAGGGTCCTTTGAGAAGTTAAGCTCTTTCGTGAGAATTATTCAATGAAATTTGAACAGGTATTTGTTCATTATAAATATGAATTAATTCTTAAAAAAAATTTCGTGCAACTTCGGTATAATGAAATTCTAAAAAAATTAAATCAGCTCCACTTCCTTGCTTTTAACACGTTCTACTGAACTTAGAATATTTATGCTAATAATCTTAAAAGAATTTTTCTTATTACTTGAGAGTGATCAGTTTCGTTATATAAATTCATATCTAATTTTTATATTATTAATCAATAAATCAATCAAACATGATATTATGTCATGATTTATTAATAAAATCAACGTGTACCTCGCAATCATTTAATAAATATTTACATGTATTTTACATAAGCATATGATGAAGTTATAAATAGATAATAAAGAAACATAAAATTATCGAAGAATGATAATTCATAATTGATAATTCATTAATATCATACATAAGTTAAAGAACTATTTGTTTATGCCGATTTATTTTTCAGTATGATTCTACTTGGAAAGGAAATATAAATAGTCACGATATGCCAGACACCGAGAAAGCGTTGACATGGAAAAGAAAAATGAAAAAAAATCAAAAGCATAATAGAGTTTACATGACACTCATTGCTTACTCTGGGGCGAATGAGACTCAGGGACGTTTTTTTAAGGGGGTCAAGGGGACCCTGCGCCCCGGGGCTATTCTTATTAACGCTGACTTTTTTTTCTTTCTCTAACTTGAATTCAAATTTTCCAAATTTTTCACAAAAAAAGAGACGAACAGAGCTTTCAGAAAAGTTATTATTATTCCATTTTATTTCCTTCACGTGTTTTCTTTTCTAATTTGATGTAATTGTTGATGTAATGTTATATGTGTATATCTTTGAATCGAATGGATCATGGAGCAGAAATCCGTTCTTACGATGACCGACGCTTTGAGAAAGTTATTCAAAGCGTGACATTAATTTATGGACACAGCAGCATACGTATCAGTCGGCGAGATCCATGCAACCTTAAACTTGCATCCATGCGTATGATTGCATAAAATTGTTGGTTTCGCTCAAGTTATGAGCGTGGGTAATATTTCCTACTATTAAAGAATCGATTTCGATGCAGAATTTCAATGAATCGATCGTAAAATTTCGCTTATTGATTAATAGTGTTGATACAATGTTAGATACAGTGGTTGAATTACATTAGAAATACAATTTATGCCAAAAATGTGTTATACATTTTGAAATATTATGAATATGTAAAGTTTCGTCTTACAAAAGATTTTTTTTTTTCCTTTAATTATAAGATGATCCTTATGTTATATTAGTTTACGAATACCGTATTCTCTTCACAATGTCACGACCGTCGTGCGTGATTCCGGTACGACGTCACGGTCCCATTGACGCCGACCACAACCACCTTAAACACCCATAAAACATTTTCGTGACCTCTTTTTCATGTAATTCAACGAACAGAGGCTTGTTCTCCATTTCCGGTGACATGAAAGCACCGATACACTCGGCACGCTCGAAAAAACCTTTCACACGTTCCGGCGATATATTGTGTATACCACTGAATTCGTAAACGATATCCCCGGTTTCATTACTGATTTGAATGCCCTGAGTATACATAGTATCGAGAACGGCATCAATAATTCCATTTTATAATTATTTTGAGATTCTACTAAAAACGTGTAAATATTAGATAAATTATATCATGCACATTTATAATCGTAGCATATATATGCATCTGCATGTATCATCAGAGAATAAAAAGATTGGAAGCATCAGCAAAAATATTCTTGTAAAGAATGTCACTTAGAAAAAAGCATATGTGTATTAACCAGAAACCTTTCGAGAGTATATTACGTATGATAACATAGTTCGTATAATTTCGCAGCAGCATGCCAGAAAACGTGCATTCCCGAAGAGGAGTTTCCTGTAGGAGGGAGCCTTGGGTACCCGGCGGTGAACCATCATCGTTCTAGCACGACACGAGGTCGCGGAAAAGCACGAGCATCGTCGAAGCGTGCACGAATACGACCGAACCGTAACGAAAGCGTACGAGGCCACAGATACAGGGGTGGGGACTCGCAGACTCTCAGTAGTCGAATTCAGTCGAGCCAGCGCCGTGATCGGAGTTGGAATAGTGACTGGCGAACAGTGTTCGGAGCAGGCGTATCCGCTCTCGGTGTTCTAGTCGCTCCTTAATCACGCGCACACGAATTAATTTGATCGGCTGGCAGACCCGAAATCGAATATTCGCTTCGTTTTTTATTCGTTTCTTGTTTAACCGTGGGCTTCGTACGCTTCTATCGTTCTCCGTCGTGCATGTTCATCAATTTATATAGTTTGTCGCTATTCGTTTAACCGTCCCCGCTGTGATTGACTGTCGCGAAGGCCTTTTTTTCCGGAGCCGCTACAGACACGGCAGTGAAAATGCGGTAGTGACAGTGGTATATCAGAGACAGGGAGAAAAAGAGAATCCCTGAGTACGTTTGTAGGCGCGAGGACGCCACGAGTTTACTCGATAAAAATCGAAGTGAACGAAATTAGGGGAGAGGCTCCTTGAAGCCAGGGCCAGAAGTTATGTCGAATTCGTGTGTTCGAGGACGAGGAATTTACGCGCATGTGTCCAGTGGGATTTAGTGTCGGCGATAAAGCATTCTTTCCAGATCTGGATACCTTGCTCGCAACACCTACGGGACCTGGATTATCTCATGTCAGGATGGCGCTGGCGCGGTACGTATTTTCCACTGAATCGTCGAACCTCCTCGTCATTGCGTTTAGGGTGGGTCTTTGCTCAAACGTGTTTGTTTTTCCTCTTTCGTTCCCGATGTTATTAAGTGTCTTTATTGATCCAATACTACGTCCTATACAGCAACACATATTGACCTTAAAACGATATTTCACTTCTATTATAATGATAATATTTTACATAATCATATTCTGAAAAGGATTTAATGACACACTTCGTAAAAGAAAGTGTTCTTCTTTTTTGAAATACCGGTGTCCCTTTGTTTTGAAGTATTCTGCCACAGATGCCGGTATCAGCCATAGAGTGCGCACTGGTCAACGACCCATCCCTGCCATAACTATAGTCAACTGATTTAACAGATTTATACATTCTCGGTGTATTTACATAGCTGTCGTGTGTTCTTTCGACATGATGCGTATGATGCCGGGACTCGTTATTAGTTTGAAAGTTCTTGGTCAAGTTGCTTGCATGGCGAAGGAAAGACGTCAAGGTTAGTACACCTTTTTACGTTAAGTCGACCTTCCGAGTACGATGCGGGCTCCGTCACGGTTCGACAATCTGCCTTTATACTGAAACATTTGACCGTGAATATGAGTCGATGGAATTCAAACGTAGAAACATTAACAGCGACCTTATCCTCCGGTCGCTCTCTCTCTTTCTCTCTCTTTGTGGCTGAAAATTCTTCGATCGACAAACGGTGTCACTACACGCGCGTCTACATGTGCCTACATAACATAATACTCGCGCGCGCATATAGGTTAGAATAACTGTCTTTTCATGTCAAAGTTTGATTCTAAAAACAGCTATCCATCGTGAATAATTTTACTATATAACGTGTTTACGTGTATTGCGAATATTATTTTCCGACACGACAATCGTAAATATGTTATCATTTTATATATATATATTACTTTCTCTGTCAAATCTTTTTATCAATACTATAAAAGATATAGCATGACAGTAAACAGCCTTCACCGCATATACTTATATTCGTATACGATTGAATCGTGACAGAACTGGCAATGAAGCTTTCTACCAACTCGTCGACGTGTTCATATGCCATCGCGAACATAACATTGCCTTGTGTTCTAAACTGTGGACGGTTAGAATTTATTTCTTTGTAGTCGAGCGATCCTTTATCTCGCGGACGCAGTATTGAAGGCCTCTATTGTGATATTTCGTTCAACTTAATCGAATGAGTAGGGGAAATAATGTTGGAGCGTACGAAACATCTAGTAATTGAATATAGCGAATTAAACAATGGTTGGGAATCGTATGGGTGGGCAAATGGGCGTATGATCAGTAGTTTCGCCGATAGACCTTCTCTTGATGGAGACTATTACTCATTACACTTCCTGCCCAGCAGAACGCTATCGGCCAAAGTGATGAATCACGAAGCTATAAACAGATCTTCGACTTCATAATTACAATTTAATGAATGCGGCCACAATGATTGTGTGGGACCTCACCTGCTATTAATCTTGACATTGCGTGAACTTTTGCGCGAATTTCCATTTGCAACGAATCATTTTAATAAGATATTTGATATTTTTTTAGATCTTTAAATTATTATTAAATTTTTTTTAGATTGGAAATTTTGCATTTCACGTTGATTGGAATATTATGAACTGTTTAAATATTAGATAAGATTTTTTTTCAATTTAAGTCGATATGATATATTTCAAGAAATTGTATTTTTAAGATATTCTTTTCTCTTTCTTTTCTTTTTTTTAAGATAAATTAATATTTATTGATAAATATTTGAAACATTAGTATATGCTTAAGAATTTTTCTTCATTCGTGATGTTAAATTTTTAAAAGATTTAAAATATTCTTTTACATATTTATTTAAAATCGATAAATATTCAAAAAATATTTTAATCATATTTTTTCTTTATTATTGATCAATAAAAAATTTATGATGCTTATTTATTCAAGTGATTTTTTTTTTATTTCTGATATTTTTTCAGAAATCTTTTTTCATTGTTATCTTATGGTTCGATTATTTTTATATCATAATTAATATATTATTTATTAATATATTTTATTAATTATCATAATTTACATATATATAATAAAAATTTTTTCATAGAATTTGAAATAAATTTTCAATTATAAATTTGAATTTTAAATATTGCTTTAATGTTAAATTTTAAATTTAATGTTAGATTTTATATTTAAATTTAAGGATATTTAGATATTTGTTTAAGTTTTAAATTTTTCATCGTGAAAAAACAGTGAATTTTAAATTTAAAATTAAATATTTAAATTTCAAATTTCGATTTTTGATTTTCTATTCAACAAAACTAAAATCGAAATTTAATTTCGAAGAATTTAATTGTTTCTCAGAAAGAATTCATTAAACTCGCGTAGAAATATTACACATTATTTTCCTTATATCTAGTAATAATAATATCTAATGATAATATTGAATAGTATGCAAATTTCTCGTTTTCAAAATTATGGAAATCGTAATTAACCCATCTCAGTTTCATTTCCGAGTAAACTAATTCCGTATAACGCAGTTCAACTGATTAACCAATCATGTATTAGCATAGATTAATTAGAGAGACGAGCGTTGTTTCGCGGAGGACACTTGTTTCGCGCTGCGCGAAAGGCAATTTTGAATCATTAACATAACTCAAAGCGAATCGAACTGTCGTTCCACGATCAATCAGTGTCGGTGAAAATTACGTTAAATGCTTTACGATGAGAATTGATCGATCGCACAGAAGCAATTCCTTGCCTAGAACAGATGTCTATCGAAACAATTCTCTTTCTACGTTAATCCATGAGAAAAGTTTATCGAACCATGGAAAACATGGTGAAATTGTTATTAAGTTGGAAAAATTGGAAAGTTTTAAATTATTTTTAGAATTTCATCTTAGAATGTTCTTTCGAAAAATTTTTTTATATTTAAATAAAAAAATATATATAATATATAATATAATATATATAATATATATAATTTATAATATATATAATATATTATATATAATACATAAATATAAAATAAATTTCTTGTTTTTGAACGTAACATAATCTATATTTAACATAAATGAATGAAATATCTAGTATTCAATATTATAAAAATCTATCGATATGAATATTATAATTATATTCCTAAAAAAAAGACAAGTATAAGAAAATATAAAAAAAATAAATTTATTTAATTATAAAAATAGATTTTTTTTAATTATATTTTTTTAA